AAATTAGAATGTCGTGGAAAAGTTCTTTTATTTCAGTAATTCCTATAACAGCTTTATATATATATATATATATATATATATATAATTACACCAGATTTGTCATTCCGTAGCTACTCATGCTCAAGTGTGAGGCAGCAATCGAAAACAGGGAATCTAAGAAGATTATTTAAAGAATGAACTAAGAGGCATTGGTGATTTTAAAAAGATATCTATAAGGTAAAATGGATTAAAAATGCATGTACATAATCTTTCAGCCTAGGGTGAATATACATGAACAGCGTTTTGGGATAAATATTGTCAAATTTAATAGAAAACTATGTAAGTGACATGGGAGGGTTTTGCATGCACTGACAGTCCAATGTTTTCAGATTGTAAAGACTTGGCGCTATGCTTCTCGTCCAGTGTCACCATAAAGCATCATCAAAGCATCTCTCCAACTGTCTATATGGGGAAAAAAAAAAAGTTAGAACTGATCAAAGTTACACTGGATAAACCCTGTGTAGACGTATGAGTCACATTAAGGGGAAACCAGAATGCAAAGAAAATCAAATTTGCACAGGCAACCAGAGAATATTGTTCAACTTCCTTCTGTCAACATCTGTATGGAAAAATGTATAACTACAGGCCTACACCCCTCTTTTACAAGTACCTGCTTCTAATAGGTCTTGGGTCCTTTCAATTTTAAGTTGCTTTTGCTTCTCTGTTTTTGTTTTTGTTTTCTTTTTCTTTGGATCTGCAAAAATGAGTCATATAATGCAGGGGAAAATAAAAGCATCTGATGTTATGCCTTACAGAAAGGGTTTGTTGTCTATGGAGATGGGGATTTTTGTTCTAAATTGTTCATCCATGAGAATGTTGACTGAAGGAAGTTGAACCATTTTCTCTGATTGCCTGCGTGACTAGTGTGACCTAGTGTGACTCATAAGTCCAGGAAGAGTTTGTCCAGTGTGGATTTCGTCATTTCCCTTTTTATTCATATGGACAGTTCCATAGATGCTTTGATGACACTTTATAAGACACATTGGTCAAGAAGTGTCGCTCCAAGTCTTTACAATTAAATTTAGTGATAAACAATTTATCTACTTAACCATTTTACGTTTTTTTTTTTTTTTGCAGTATTAGTAAATTGCAGTACTATTACAATCCCTATAGGGTTCTGCCATAAAACAGCTCAATTCTGTGTTTGTGCAGTCTACAGCAATCCTGCATTCCAGTTCATTCATAAGTACAAACACCTTTATTTATATAGCACTTTATACAATACAGATTGTATACTGATGCAAACTTCAAAAATGAGACAAATCCAAATTCTGCTATAAAGCAGTTCTAAGACAATCATGTCTCAGTTCATTGTTGGTTCAGTTCAGTTCAATAACTATATAAAGTCAATCAATTAATTTCAATTCGGCGATAAGCAGCTCAACTAATCACTAGTATCATTTGCAGCTTGAATCAGTTCAAGATTCATTCAATTCAGTTCAATGACAGTTGATGTTGCAAAAATTGTCAATTCTAAACAAATTCAATTTAGCTATAAAGCAAGTTTACAGAAGACAATAGTGTCATTCAACTCAATTCAGTTTTGTTCTCATTTGATAACGTTAGTTCTGTCAAATTGATGATATTACTGAGAACTGTGTTCTTTAAACCTCAACTAAGCAAGCCAAAAGGCGACAGTGCAAGGAACTCAAACTCCATCAGGTGACAGAAATGGAGGAAAAAACCTTGAGGGAAACCAGGCTCAGTTAGGGGTCCAGTTTTTCTGTGGCTAAATGAGCCAGCACAGTATGATTTATGAGCCTGCATCACACGTCAGATTTGAGTGGATGTTATTGACTAAGATTTTTCATCCATCTCTTTTTGCTTGAAGAGATCACACAGGCATTAGGGTGGGATAACACTGGCTTTAGGTGGAAAGGAAGAGTTGGACAGAGTAGTCTGTCCAGCAGATTGAAATATGTAGAGCTTCCATCGAGCATTTGTACTTTCATTAGTTGTACCATGTAAAGGTGGCTTGCTTATTAATGTCCATAAATAACTGACCATGCCACAAATATCAGATCCAGCCCCAGACACCAGATCCTGTCAGAAAATATCAGTTTTGTCTGTTAACAGATAAACTTGTCAGCACTAGCCAAAACCCATTAATAGGAAGTCTTGTCTCATACCTTTAAACTCTATTGTCTTCTATCAGCCAAGAGTTGACTGAGTAAAGCCAGAGAAGAGCAGGAGACAAAGTAATGGTGGTAAAAAGGAGCAGAGCTTATTGGATAATCTTAGTTCTGTCATGACAACTCTCGGAGGGATTGGCATGGTAATGTACATGACAATGTTAAAGTATTTGGTCTTGGCGGAATAGATCTGCTATGCTGCTGCTGCGGCAGAGCAAGTACCGAGACTTGCTACTGCCAATACATCCACAACATGCTGCTGTGAGCATGTAAGAAATATTGCTGCTGCAAATATAACACATGAAATAACCCCCATATAGCATACATGAATCACCTCGTAGCAGATCTATACAGGTGGAGCTGGGGAAGGTGGAGGGTTTCTTTACAGCAAGCACTAGTCATATATTTGAATGTTGAGCAGCGAGCTCTTTGGCTCCCGATACAGGAGAACCAATCATCTGTGCCATGTGATAATGATGTCATTAGGTCAGATTGAGTTAGACCTACCGGACTGTGCCATCTAGAGTTTCACACCAGAACTCTGTATTTGCGTATGTTTCAATGCTAGGACCATTGTCTGACCAGCACCTTGAATTTCCATAAACATTCACTCTTATCTCTTATTCATACAGATGAAACAGTTCATGAAACCCCACAATCATAAGATTAAATGATGAAAATGCATAAGCAAAAAAATAAATAATAAGAATATAAAAGCGTAATAAAAATAGCCTAATACGTAAATAAAGTTTAACATAATTAAAATGATAAAATAATCAAATGATACATTTTATAAAAGGCTAATGATTATAAATGATTATATAAATAATTATAAATGAATAAAAACAAGAAAAATAAAAACACCACAAATGTATGATTGCTCTCTTGATACGACACACAATTTGCATTTGAGGATCCTTAGATCATACCTGTCAACCCTCCCATTTTTCCCGTATTTTACCATTCTATCCCGCTATCATCCCGTTTAAATATTTTCCCGTATTTCTCCCGTATTTTTAATCTTTCTATTAAAAAAAATCCCACTATGCGTATTTTATATTTTCGCTACATTCGCTTCCGGTAAAACTCCCATAATTTGTATGTGCCAAACCTCATTATATGAATAATCACGACAACAAATTCCAAGGTTGTCCTGTTGCCAGATCTTGTATGAAACGCATCTTTCTCACACGATTGACGCATACAAATTTAAACCCATTTGTCCCCTCAACTTGGCAACCTACAGCCCAGTGATGCTATTGATATGTGCGCAGGGAGTACCGCGGGAAGGAAACAAACAATGATCACTGGTAGAAATAGGAGGAGGAGAAGACTCAGGTGGTGCTCCAGTTACAAAAACTAAATAGGCTATACATGTAAATTGAGATATAGCTTACACTTCAAAAGGCTATGGTTTAATTGATTAAATATGAGCACTGAAAGTTTAATATAATATAATATAATATAATATACAAATTGTTACTTTTGACTCTGCCAGTGCTTGTGGAATTTCACTGTAACTGTAACAAGAAACGCGGGTTGCCAGGTTTACACAACAAAACTCGCCCAATTGTTACTCAAAACTAGCCCCAACTAAACGCGTTTCGAGGGGGTCCCAAGGTAAAAATCGCGTTCCGTTCCAACCCGCGGACATGAAAAACAACCCGCGGCAATATTCCACGGGAAAACCGCGGACTTGGCAACACTGTGACGGATACTAATGTCTACAACTGACACGACCTCTGTCGCAGCACGACCACAACAGCTTGAAGTTGACTAATTTGGCCCGGTCTCCCTGCTGCACTAATTTTAGTAAGGCTTTCGTCTGTGTGTATACATATTCTTATAAGTACAGTTTTATATGTATTATTTGTGTCCCCTTCAAAAATTGCTCTTGAGAAAGTTTGTTTATTGTGTCGTTTTGGGATGCCATGGGATCTGGGAAAAGGCTATGGTTTAATTGATTAAATATGAGCACTGAAAGTTTCAAAGTCAGGTGCTGCGCTACTTTGTTTACTGCGGTTATGGGGGAAACGGCTATATTCCTGGCGAAAAGCACCACCTGCTGGCAGAGAATGAATTTGCATTTTTCAATAAGCCCTTCTGCTCTGTTTAGACCAGGGGTGTCAAACTCAGTTCCTAGAGGGCCGCAGCCCTGCAGAGTGTGTCCCCTTCAAAAATTGCTCTTGAGAAAGTTTGTTTATTGTGTCGTTTTGGGATGCCATGGGATCTGGGGCCGGTTGCATAAACTGTTTAGACTCTTAAAAAGTTAGTCATCTAATTTTTTTTTTCTTCAAGACTGGTCATAACTTTTTTTATTCAGTTATGAGAAGGTAGATTGGTCTTATTTGTATTGGAAAGGTAAGACTGATTACCCCTTGGCAACTGCTAGTTGGTCAAAGTAGTTCTTGAAACACAGTCTTAACATGATGGCTACGTTTATGCAACTGGCCCCTGATCTCTGCCTAAGTGCTATAATTATGACTAATGCATCTTCGCATAGTTTTTTTTTTTTCTGCCATGCAACATAAGCTAATAGTGACCGCTCGTCTCTAAAGGGATTTTTATTTTTCAAAGTAATGCCAAGGACAAAGCTCAAACAAATGACGAAATAAACGGAGTCGCTGTCTTTATGTGTGAAAGAGAAACCTCTGAACAAAAGCGGGTTCCTCGAGATTGATGCATGAATTAACTTAAGCCGGATGTGCAGCGCGTTTGGACATGCAGACGCGCGATGAGTAACGGTGTCTCCCGACGGGAGGAGAGAGGGCGGTCTGTGCTCAACGTCACATGAACTATAAATAACAGCGCCACTGGCAGCCTGACCAAGTAACGTGGTTGCATTATCTGTGCACATGGTTCAAGCTGAGACGTTCGAGTTTGGCGTGGAGCAGGGACAGATGCTGCAGGTCTTGATGCGGCACTGTCAAACCATGAAGCGTCAGGAGACACGACTGCGTCTGGCCACCGCGCTGCTGCTTGCAACGTTCTTCGCGACTTTGGTGTGGATACAGTTTCACCAACAAAATACTACGGTAAAATACAAGTCGAAATTCTTTGATTTTAAACTTACAAAATGATTAACAGCCACAATATCAAACACTATCAATCTGATTAAATAAATATAATAATTAAATGCATCCAATAATTTGTCAAAAGGGAGGAGTTGAAAACTGTCTCTGTTTTTCTCTACATCTCAGGAAGCATTCTCAGGCGCTCATCAAGAGGCTTTGAAAACTACAGATTCACCAATAGGACACTCTGTTCATCTTGAACGTACGTTTAATTAGTGGTAAATTAGTCAAAAAGAACTTAATGTAGCCTACTGTAGGCTATTCATTTTAAGTGTCATTATACCATCAAAAAAGTAATGTCACATGATACACTCTAAAAAATGCTGGGTTGTTTCAACCCAACTTTGGGTCAAATATGGACTAACCCAACCGTTGGGTTAAATTTTTACATTAAATTTTTAACCCAAAAGTTGGGTTAGTCCATATTTGACCCAAAATTGGGTTGAAACAACCCAGCATTTTTTAGAGTGTATGTATATAAGACCCCCTGAATTTTGTTTGAGAGATCTGTCAGAACAATTCTGTGCAATTTAAGCTTCAGAAATACCATAGGAACATTTTTGTGACCTAGGGTCAAGTTACACAGTGTTTTGTCTTTTGACTTATTGTCTCTCTCTTAAAACAGCTTTAAGACAGATGCATGCTTGTTCAGAACAACAGCCCATCGAGTGGTTGGAAGTGGATGATGGCTATGACTCCCAAAATTTCAAGCTGGAAAACCAAACAGTCCTCCACATCTCCACAGAGGGCCTGTATTTGATGAATCTGAAGATCTCTTACCGTACAGCCTATGGCCAGTGTGAGCCTGGTACAGATTTGACTTTAGTGGTCAATGTCACACAGCAGCATAGAAACTATGAAAGAGAGAGAGAGATTATAAGTGCTAAGGAGTCTATGATTTGTAGAGATTATTGGTTTCAGTCGATCACTATGAATCGAGCAATCAGGTTAGAAGCTGACACTAGTCTCAGGGTGAGAATTAACCAGAAAAGTTGCAAGATTGTCAACTGGGTTAAAAACAGTCATTTGGATGTCACTTATGTCTAGAGTTGTTTGTTTTTTGAAAAATTCGTATTTGTATTTGAGATTAGTAGAAACAGCATTAAGCAGGCGTTTATTTTTTTTAATGACCTATTATTTAGGTGCTTTAAGAAATACTAAAATGTTTAAATTAAATATTTTCAGGTTTATTGAGAGGTTTACTCTTATTCTTTATGTTGAAACTGTTATTAAATAACATGACTACCCATGTACTATCCACAAAAGAGGCATATTTTGAATATAGTTATTAAGTGTTGTGACAGCCAAATTGCACCAAAATGTTGGTAGCAGGTGAAATTATGTGTGTGTTTTATGTTAAAACTTTTTAAATGTGCATTTATGAACTGATTCATTAAGAGTTGTTTGTCATTTGATTTTAAAAATCAGGTCTATTAAGTTTAATTAACTAAGTAAGAACCCATCCTGTTCATTGTATTTACCTCTAGGTGGCAATCGCATACATCTGCATTTCAGAATGTAACATGTTTTTGTGGTTCGCTCATAAATCTGTAGACTTGTCTTGAAATTCAAACAAATAATGTTTTTACAAATATTTGTTTCAAAGATTCAATTTATAAAGCCACGGTCAACAATTTACTACACAATGATTTAAAGGTATATCTAGAAACAACAATGCAAAAAAACATACAGAATACACGGAACACCTTGTTTATTTCAGGTCACTTTAATTAGCTCTCGATTGCCTGTGTGTGTCTCCTTGATTACTGGATCAGGAAACATGCTGCATTTTCTCTGTACTGCCTGAATAAAAAAACTTGTGGTAAGAGAATCAGTCTTTGTCTGCTTTTGTTCATTGAAGATGTTCTGATAGACTGTTTAGCATTGAACAGAGGCAGTCTAATCTGACAGACTAAAACCTCTTTGGAATAGTGATTTTGCTGAATACATGAATAGATCATTGAGACCAAGATACAGGATAAAACCGGACTGGACTGGGTGCTTCCAATGACAATGAAATTCTGAAAAGTGAAACTCTTAAACTGAACATCTGTGCAAGAGAAAATTGCCAGGTGCAGTGTGTACTAAGCACATACTGTGCGGAAAAGTACACACAAATGACTTCTGCACATTAAAAGATAATGCTGAATGAAAGACCTCTGGCCCAGGCGAAGAACCTATTCTTAAACAGTGTGGTATCTGTCTGACACACCTTTCAACCTTCCGGTTGGTGTTTAACACTCAACAGACTTGGTTTTGTGGAGTAAATTCCTAACGGTTGACAAACACACCTGCAAATAGGGTGATGCTGGAATTGTATATTGCATGCAGATTGATAAGCATGTCAAAACAAAGAAATTAATTAGTTGTTGAACTTTTAATTTCTTTTTCCGACCCCTACAGTTCTGAATCACTGGAGGGGATTTCCAGTCCAAGGATGTGTAAATGTTGTAGTATGGTTTTGATGGTACACCATAAGTTTGCAGTACTTACAGTCACTGGCTTTCTAAAAAATAAAGACGACCAATTGAACATGTAAGGAAAAAGGACTAATGGATGTAAGGACCAAGTGATGTGACTCCGAATAACTCAAAGTACAGCAGTAGTCAGCATGGTGGACTGATATACTCCTAAATGAGAATCGAGATCGAGCACATTACATTTGAAATCTAATATTTAGTTGTGCCAGAGTCAGCTATTTAAAGTGTTTGTGATACACACGTTAAAGTCCATCAAACTTATTTTGCAGGAGGTGGAATTTTTTTTACAGTGAAGGCAATATCATTCATGAACAACTATAAAGATGGATCAGTCAGTAATAGAGGATGTGTGTATTTGAGGGATGTGCTCTGTGTTTGTTCTCGTGTGAGTATGAAGCGGGCTTATGTGATGTCCAATTGGTGACGATGATTGTTGACTCAAGGGAAGAGGCATGTTTACCATTAATTTTCCAATAGGAGCAAAATGGAAATGATTGAAAGGTTATTACTAAAGATTGGGGTACTAAGACTCAGACTGCAAGTATGAACTCGGACGCACTCAAGTGGACTTATTCTCGAACTTGACATGACGTTTTGGACATAGTAATAATGACAAGACATTAATAAACAGGTCAAACAAGAAAAGGTCCCCGGGACGTCCCCTAAATGGCCTCTGCGAATGTCCCCCAGACGTCAGCGTGTAGGGTCCCCTTGACGTCGAGCGGACGTTCGTGAAGACGTCCTCCGGACGTTCAAGGGGACGTTCACAGGGCTTGCAGCAGCCATTCGGGACGTTTAGGGGCCTTTCGCTTTAAGTCCTCTGAATGTCATTTTATTTTACTTTTAGGCTAATCAAAGACAACAGACACGTTGTATGGAGCAAAATACGTTTATTTTAATTGAACAATTGTAAAGTTGCTGTGCTCTTTCCGTGTGTGTGTGTGTGTGCGTGCGTCTCTGGTTGTCAGCTGTGGTTTGTCCGATGGCAATTCTTCCCATTGTCTTCTAACCTAAAACAACAAAATGAACACATTTGGATTTAGACCAAGCGGTCCGAAATTTAGCGCACATAGGCCTTTTTGTTTTCACTGTATATATCCAGTGTCAGAAAGTGTTTGTTATTCATCTCATTCATTAAATTTGTTGATAAATATTTTTAACAACTTAAATGTAGTATATGTATGAATGCAGATTTTTTTCAGTGCAAAGATAAGCTTCTGATTCGACCCTTATAAAAAAAACACGAGCGTGACGCGAGTTTCAAATGTTAAAATCACATGTGAAGCACACACGAAACGTGTGGAAAAAGCGTGAAAAAAAGTGGTTACATTTTTGTCAGAAGCATACGTTTCCTGTGTGTTTCATATGTGATTTTAACATGTTAAGCTCATGTGACGCACATTTAACCTCATTCTATAAGGGGATGTATGATTATATTGAGTATGTTACATATTGCCTTTTGCCATTATAGGCAACAGAAGAGGCGCTCAACAGAAGGCACACACACTGCAACATGTGAATGAATGTAAGCACAGTCAAATTCACCAACACTCAAAAATCTGTAAGCTTTGTTAGTTCAGCTAGCTGGCTTATACATTGTTACATTTTGTCTCTTTCTACAGGATACAAAGTGTGTGCAGTGTTCGTGGACTACCATCAGCTGTTTTTCTTGTTCCTTTGTCTTTGTTTCCCACAAAAAAAATCCTGCAGAAGTGTTTGTGAAAATTCCAAATGTCCAGAGTATTTTCTTTATTGTGTATTCTTTATTATTTACACTTTTCTGTTTTCTTTCTTATCTTACTCTTTCTGAGCCCTTTTGTGAAAATATCAAATAAATAAGTATATATATATATATATATACACATTTTCAGATGTGGTTCTTTCTTATATTTCCTGTAGAAGCCCCTTGTGATTCCTGTAGGATTCTTGTAGGATTTCTGTGGTATTCCTGTAGCATTCCTGTAGGATTCTTGTAGGATTTCTGTGAGATTCCTGTAGCATTCCTGTATGATTCTTGTAGGATTTCTGTGGTATTCCTGTAGCATTCCTGTAGGATTCTTGTAGGATTTCTGTGGTATTCCTGTAGCATTCCTGTAGGATTCTTGTAGGATTTCTGTGAGATTCCTGATTCTTGTAGGATTTCTGTGAGATTCCTGTAGCATTCCTGTAGGATTCTTGTAGGATTTCTGTGAGATTCCTGATTCTTGTAGGATTTCTGTGAGATTCCTGATTCTTGTAGGATTTCTGTGAGATTCCTGATAAAATCTGTCCGCTACCACCGCTACTTTATTACAAGAGTTCCCTACTGATCCAGGGACAATAATTTAAAATAATAATAATTTTAAAATAATTTAAAGATAATATAACAATGTTGTGTAGTGTTTAATACTATAGACACAGCCAGTTTTACTCACTGAAAAATTATTAACTCTATCTATTGTATTTATATTGGTGCAGGTTGTAAAAAACCTGAATGAGTTTCTTTGCTCTGTTGACCCCACTGACTTCCATAGTACAGTATGAAAAAAGAGATAGCCATACTGTAGCACACCAACACATGGTTTAATATTTTATTTTTATTTAATATAATATTTTATTTTATTTAATATTTTATTATTTAATATAATTATTTTTATATATTTTATTGGTTTTAAGTTTTTTCAAAACTTGTCAAGTTGTTTAAATCGTTGTTTTTAAATCATCATTTTATGAAATTAGGCCAAATGTTGGAAAAAGAACATTTCTATCAATTTCCCAAACGATGGGACCAGATTGTTTATACCTGCTGTAGAATAGGTCATTCCAGGATTTTATTCCAGGACAAACCATCATTTTATGGTTTAGGATGTTGATATAAACACTGATCTAACTCTATTATTAACTCTATCTATTGTATTTATATTGGTGCAGGTTGTAAAAAATAAAATTCTGTCATTTGCTCACCACAAGTTGTTCTAAACCTGAATGAGTTTCTTTGTTCTGTTGACCACACTGACTTCCATAGTACAGTATGAAAAAAGACATAGCCATACTGTAGCACACCAACACATGAGGAAATGTGATGTTAGCAACACATTTATAAACTAACAGTTGTTCATGTGAAATGACTGTGGAGCACATACAAGGACAGAAATCATTTACTCACCCCTGGTGTTGATCTAATGCTGTATGGCCTTCTTTATTTTATGGACCATGACCAAAGGCCAATATCAGGATTTTCATTAAATGCATACAATTTCATATCATATTCCCCCAGAACATATTCCCTGCCATTATACAGATGAGAGTGAGCAGAACTTTTTTTTTTGGTCCATAAAAGAAAGAGAGGCATAGGGAATTCAAACAGTAAATTGCTTTTCATTTTAGGATAGACTATTCCTTTAATGCACAGCTAGCCGTGGATTATTCCCGCTTATTCCATGCTCAAGCATGGATTTCTGCAAGAAAAATAAAAAGAAGTTATTGAATGTTAAGTCTTTATTTGCTGTGAAATAGTGTGAAGTTTGTGTGGCCATAACCTTAAATTCAATACCAGCAAGCATGCAAATTCTAAAAGAATAAATAACAGGTCAGTCAAACTAAACAATATTCCAGCCTGTCAAGCAAAATGTACTTACTTGTCTCCTATCTTCTTTTGCAGTGAGCTGATTAGATTTTTCACTGCGGTCACTGAAATTATTTTCATCTGACAAGAATTTTGTGTAATTTCTATTCTTGTGCCATGATTGTCCTTTGAACTTGAATATTTGTTGTATTCATTTGTTCTGGTTTGTTTTTCACCACTGTCCTTTTAATACATATTAATTGATAATGTCCTCCGCTGCTGTAGTATTTAGGCATTTTGAGAATTACATATCACAAATCAGTGACTATACTTTGATTTGTTTTTTTTTTGTGGTGTGAAGTACTATTGTGTTATGGTAAATTAAATATGTTAATAAGAGAGTTTCTGTGGTTTGTGGTTTCTGTGTCTTATGCACCATTTTTGTATGAAATAAGTAAACTTAACTAAGTAAACGTCATTTAAACATTTTTGCATAAATACAATGAACTTCGTTTGTACGTGATAAGCCGATACCCATGCATTTAAAATTAGTCAATAACTGAATTTTTGTTATTGTCTCAATCCAGTGTGCAAATGTTTAATCGGTTTGAAACCATAGAATTGTGATCACTTGTAGATATAATACATAAGGACAGTTATGCACTTGTTTTGTATCAATTGTAATTAATGA